GCTACAGGAAGCCTTTCAAAGAGAACCATATCTTGCATTGTTAGTTATACCTCTGTTATGGATTTTTGTTGTTTTGAATTTTTTATAACCTTTAAAGATAAAATATTTCATGTTAATTTTTTTATCTCCTTTTTTTTGGTTATACCTATAACTCTGTTAGCTTTGACTTTCCTGTTAGGCCAGATAGTTGGGTATCCCATTGCTGCCACGCTTCTTTGCCTTTATTTAGTGAAGGAAATTTCACCTGCACCTCCTAAGCTGGGTCCACCATTCCTCTAAAGGAATAAGTATTACTGCTCTTCTCTATACTGTACATACAGTCTTGCTGAGACAAGTATCTGCAGTATATGCAAATGAACTGTATGGCTGCTATAAAGAGCAACTACTCACTCCCCAATATTTCATTTACAACTATATGAACTTCATTTTTTTTTTTTTTTGTCAGCAATTGATGGATTAGGGCAGGCTAGAGGATGTGTCACCTTGGGAGGCAAGGAGGGGGTCTAAAAGAGTACTGCAGGATTACCAGTAATGGGTATACAGATATAGGAGAAAAATATAAAGGGAGATGCAATAAGATTAAGTACATCTTGATTTAGTCCTACCCATAAAGTAGCGTTAAAACAAGGGAGAAATGCAAGGTGATGGTATTAATAAATAAGCTTACTCTGGTTAATACATCATAATATTGAGGAATGTCAGTTTCAGGTAATATGAGATGCATGGAATGGCTAACCAGAGATAATTTAAATATCCATGCCAAAGCTGTGTGTGTGTGTGTGTGTGTGTGTGTGTGTGTGTGTGTGTGTGTGTGTGTGTGTGAGCCTGAACATTGCCCTTACAACTCTATAAATAATTATCGTTTGCACTTCAGATTCTAGTGAGAAAAATGAAGCTATAGAACTGTCAAGATGTGACACAGAAGCCCTATCACAAAGGCAGAATCATCATTTGCACCAAGCCTAAAATGTACTCAAAAGTCAACCACTCATGCATCGGCAAAAACATCGTTGGGGAAGAAAGGAAACCACGCTTCCTAAACTATACCTTACTAAATTATATCAGATAGTACGGTTACCAACAGGCTGGAAAAGTGGAGAGCTGTCTATGTGAAAAGCCCCATGAGACCTGGTACCTGATTTGCTCAGGGTCTTACTCACTGATTGAAACCCACACACTAACAGAGATCTCCTGACCATGTGAGTGGGGAAAATAACAGAGGGCCACACAGTTTGTTTCTCCATCTCTCCCAGCTCCTGTCAAGGTCCAACAGTCAGGACTATGGAGAATGACACCCTCCTATCTACAAAAAGCACCTTTGTCCATTACTAGACCACAGTGTAAAATTTCCCTTACACATATAATAGTTATGTTAGTCTATAAAAATTAGCCTAGAGCAGAGGCAGTGTGGAGTTCTGGAAAAAGTAAGGGAAACCAGAAAGGAAACAAAAATAAAAAGCCATGTGCTTTGTCCTTGGACAGCTCTTTGCTCAGTTGCTGGTGCATACAAAACTCAAAGCCATTGCCATCCAGTAGATTCCGACTCAAAGTGACCCTACAGGACAGAGCAGAACTGCCCCATAGGGTTTCCAAGGCTGTAATCTTTATGGAAACAGAATGCCACATCTTTCTCTCATGGAACTGCTGGTGGGTTCAAACTGCCAACCTTGCAGTTAACAGCCAAGCACTTAACCAGTGCACCAGCAGGGCTCCTTGCTGGTACATACCCCAAAAACCAAGTCAATTGCTGTCAATTCTGACTCACAGGGACCCCACTGGACACAGTAAAAGTGTCCAATAGGGCTTCCAAGGAGCAGCTGGTGGATTCAAACTGCCGACCTTTTGGTTAGCAGTCAAGTGCTTTAACCACTATGCCACCAGGGCTCCTGCTGATACATAGTAGGTATATAATAAATGGTACTCAGTTTATAGTATAAAAAGGAGGATATTTGCTCATATTTTCCTCACCTATTCTTCTCCTTCCTAGCATGCCAGATAAACTAGCTTTTGCTCCACCAGTCTGCACCATGAACATGCATAGTCTGAGCAAGAATACAATCCTGTCAGACCCTTCCTAAATAATAAAAATGTGAAATTCTGACTCAGACAACGTAAGAAATTCCTAACCAAGACATACAAAAATCACTTCAATAGTAGAGCTAAAAATTAAAGATGGATTTAAAATATCCAAATCAAGTATATAACCACTGCATAAACATAATCATACAACAGGGTTAACAGTTCATTAATTTTTAAAAATCTGCTTTACTGGACCCAGTTAAACATTTGCATTTTAAAAAATCAGATGATACAGGACTTTATTTCAATTCAGTAAATTAAAATTAAATTTAATTAATTTGCATAAATTATGTATATGCAGCACATATACTAGTTTTCTCTTGGTGTTGTAACAAATAACCACAAATTTAGCGCCTTAGAGCAACACAATTTTTTTTCTTAGAGTTCTTAAGGTTAATAGTCTTCCTGGGCTAAAATGAAGGTGATAGCATAGTAATGTTCCTTTCTGGAAAATCAAAAAACCAAACCTGTTGCCATCAAGTCAACTCCGACTCATAGTGACCCTACAGGACAGAGTAGAACTGCCCCATAGGGTTTCCAAGGAGCGGCTGGTGATTTTAACTGCAGCTCTTTTGGTTAGCAGCCGAGCTCTTAATCACTGTGACACCAGAGCTCGTCATTTCTGCCAGCGAGGCTATAGGAAATAATCCATTCTCTTGTCCTTTCCAGCTTCTAAGCTGCCTGCATTCCTTGGATCATAGTCCTTTTCTCCATCTTCAAAGCCAATAGGCAGCATCTTCTAATCTCTCTCTGACTCAGACTCCTCTTCAGCCTCCCTCTTCCACTTTTATGGACCCTTAGAATTACATTTAGCCCACCTGGATAATCCAGGCTAATCTCCCTAATTTGAGGTCAACTGATAAACAAACTTAATTCCATCTGCAACCTTAATTCCCTGTTGCCAGGTTAACAAAATATATTCACCAGTTTGGGGATTAGGATGTAGACATTTTTGGTAGGTCATTATTCTGCCTACCACAGTACACCAGATGTATACTAAACCTATAATCTTCAATTCAAATCAATATTCATTTACCCAGCAAATTACAGTTCCCTAATAATATGGTGATTGTTGCTGTTGTGTGCAATTGAGTCAATTCAGACTCATAGTGACCCTATATGACATAGTAGAACTGCCCCACAGGGTTTCCTAGGCTGCAATCTTTATGGGAGCAGATCCTCAGGTCTTTTCGCACTGGGTGTGAGCCACCTGGTGCGTCTGAATCTCTGGTCAACCTTTTGGTTAGCAGCCGAGCACTTAACCATTGCACCACTAAGGTGCCTTCTAATATTATTATTGTTATATTGTGGAATAAAAATGCAAAAACTTTTTTTTTAATGTTTTAAATTTGGATCAGATTCATATCTTCTTTTAATAAAGGCATGGCTTTTTACCCTGTCCCTGACTTCTTTCCATTCTCACTGCCATAAATTTGACATCTTTCCACTGCTTTGCTGCTTTGTCCTTACGTTCATCACAATACAGTACATGGTAGACTGTACACTGATTGAAGTTTTAAATCCCCTTAAGTGAATGCAACATATACTGCTTATAATATTTGTTATATATTATGGCAAAAATTTTTATGCTTTTATCCTGAGGATACATCTCAGACTACAATAAAAACTTGATAAGAAAATACTATTCCATAAACATTAACTTCACACACACATTTTTCAGGAAGAGAGGTATTGGACAAGTAGATTATTAGCACTGGCATGGAATCTGGAGAGTTGGCCTCCAACTCATGGTGACTACGCACAATGTAACGAAACACTGTCCACTCCTGCACCATCCCCAGGGATCAGCTGTAGATCAGATCATCATGATCCATAGGGTTTTCATTAATTGATTTTCTGCAGTAGATAGTCAGGCCTTTCCTCCTAGCCAGTCTTAGCCTGGAAGCTTTGCTGAAACCTGCTCAGCATCATAGCAACATGCAAGCACTCCCTGACAAACGGGTGGTGGCTGTGCATAAGGCACAATAGCCAGGTTTAGAACCTGGATCTTCTGCATAGAAAGCAAGAATTCCACCACTGAACACCTATCACCTCTGCTTAAGAACGACATAAAGGAAACTCGGCCCAGAGACCTTCACCTCACGTGCCTGAGGTCACACAGCTAATCCATACACAGCGCTGTCTCCTGATAAGTGAGCTGTCTTCTCACAATTATAACAATGCTCACCTTACACATAAAATAGAGTCAACTGTGACTCTCATCACTTTATCACTTTGTAAATCAATAGCTTAACTGACTTGTACTTCAAGGAACTGTAGAAATTATATTTGATCATTCTGTCCTTTGATAATACCTAAACTAAGCCCAGGACACAATCCTACTCAGACCTTGTGTAAATTTTACAAAATTTATAAAATGTCACATAATAAAAAGAAACTTAGTATGTAAAAAGAAGAAATTATCTAAAATTGACAGCAAAAAAGAAGAATGAGGAGCCTAAACTAATGTTATAGACAATTTCCATAAATCAAAGAAAAACTTGAAAATAGTTAGCTTTTTCATGACGAAAATGTTTATTAAATATAGTGTTGACTTTTGGTGGGTTAAGATGAGAAGAATACAAGCAATTTTTAAATAAATTTTCTGGGAGAAATAAAAACGTTTTAGAATCAGTATAGTTTGAGAAACATCAAGAGTATTTAGCAATTGTCATTTTCCCCAAGTATTTCAATCTCTGCTTTAAAAACATCATCTGAACATATCTATACTTCTAATATAATAAACTACAAATATCACCCTGATTTTTAAGTTAATTTCTTTCAAATATTAAATATACATACATAGTTTCCTTCGGATAATGACTGAATTCAATTTTTTAAAGTTACGGGGGGGCACTTTTTGATTTATCAATATTACTTTATTTTCATGGCATTATAAAGGCGAATTAAAATCAACTTACTTGATGTAATAGGGCACTTTATTATGTGAAATGGATCTTTGCCACGGCAGCTGGACTGAAGCTGAGGAGACAAAGGGAGGTTATTGGAAACACTGCTAACCAAAAAGCCTTCTACCTTAATGCAAAACAACTGGACAAGTTTTATAGCAAATTCAGTGAGAACTGTTCTGGTTTGTTAGCTGGATTCCCATAATTATGAAATCAGCTAGGCCAAACAAAGGATGGCTTTAAAGATTCATTTGAAAAGAGGAAAGAAACAATACAGATTCAATTTCTAATGTTAATTCTAACTAACTGAACACTTTCACAAAAATATTTTTAAAAAATCAGGTTTTATTTTTTAAAACCATCACAATTTAAAACTTAAAATCCAGTCCTATCTGGAAACTGCACTCTGTGTCTATTTTTTGATAAAGCTAAAACCAAAATTAATTTTGCCTAGTATATCCAGATTAAAACTTAGATTTCTCAAGATTGAGGTTTCCAAATTAATAATAGCATTCTTCATTTTGCATCATATTCACATGACTAGCTATTCAGAAGCAATAGCATTTAAACAAACTCAACGACATGAAATAAAAAGGGATAATAAAAATTAAAATAGGCAAAGGGTTGTAAAGAACTGAGGCAATTACCTAGACAGAGGAATCCTAAATACTTATTTTCATCTGAAATGTATGGAAAGTAGAATTTCCTAATTTTAAACTAGATTATTACCTTGATTGAAATTTTGTTATCTCAATGGTTACTGAGGTACTTAACTCTTTTTTATAACTGCAGTTATTCCTTATTTATAAAAATATATTATTCCTACATTAAACCAGTGATTTTCAGCCTCATTTAAGAAGAGTGTTACATATGAATCTACAGCTATTAAAGAATTTTATAAATAAACAAGCGAATTTAAATTAAAGTTTTGCAAACATTTTTATACCCTCAAAGAACCAGTTGTCACTGATTTTTCTGAATTTCATGCCATCATACTAATATAAAAATACAGCATTCTCAACTTTGCAAAAACATATTCATGTAAATCTTTCGATAAGGAAGCCAGCAAGAGACACACTAAAGTTCCATTTGATAGATGAGGAACTCAATACACAGAGGTGAAATAGCTTGCCCAAAGACCAATAGCCAGTCAATAAATGGCTGAGCTGGGACGTGATCTCAGGATTTCTGACCGCTAGTTCAACAATTTTTCTACTCAACAAAAAAGCGAGCACTCCTTTCTTCAACTATGTCCATGTAGAGTATAAAAAAGGGGTGGAAATGAGAAACTAGGTATATTAAATTTCTCATTAGAGCCAACCTCACTGCACCGTTGGCACCTGGCTGGTAGGTCAGTTCTTATTTTGTGCCGAACTAAACAGTCTCCTTTTATAACCATGGCTAAACTCCAAGCAATAACACATCTACAGATTCTAAGCACCAAGGGATCACAATTATTAAATTTATTAATTGGGATTTTGTTTGCACTTCTCTGTTCATTTTAATAATGGTTTTGATTTGAATAACCTTAACCTCCTTGGACTGCCAGTCTAGACAATAAAAGGCACTGTGCTTGAGTTTCACAAAGTGTGCATGAATTGCACAATATTTCATTTCCTAAAGAATATGAATTTGTTTTCTACTATTAGAGGAAAGTGTAGTGTCTCCTCAGTACTAACAGATGACTGATCCTTATAACAGAACTGTAAATAGGATCTAAACAATTTTTTTTTAATTCCTCTTTAATTTAGTCTTAGTGGATAGCTTCATATTCCTTAAAATTTATAAGAAATTGAGAATAATTAATACCTAGTGAGTATACTGGAGACCAATATACTTTGTCAACATTGGTGACATCCAAAGTTTAAAAATGCATCCTAACACTTGCGTTGACAGTATATTCCAGGAAAGACTATACATCACCAAAGATAAGCTATCTAAGGGCTCAGGTTTATAAAACAGAAAAACTATGTGTGCGCACATGTGCATGGGTGATTTCATGCATGTGCGTGTATGAGAGACAGAGGGAGAGAAATGGAGATGGAGGGAAGGGTGGGTGTAGGGCAGGAAGGAAAGGTAGGGCAGGAAATGACTAATTTGGATCCTTGAAATTGTGAAAGTTAAGGAAAGTCTGAACTTTAATTGAGGTAAAGCAGACTATCAACAGTGATGAAAAGATTAAGAGAAAATACAAATGTAAGCAATTTAATTGAAAGACAAGGTATGACTTCCGTTTTCTCTATGGTTATAGACACAAAGAAATTACCATAATTGGGAAATGAGCTTTGCCCTAAGTTTTAAACCTTACTTAAATTGCTTTAAATTAGGTTAAACGAATTACTTTCTTACATATGTCTGCCAGAGGAGGAAATGAATGCAATCAACATTTACTGAAACCATTTGTGCCAAGAATTGTGCTAGGTGCCTTGTATAACTCGGTAGATTTTCTTATTTCATTCTCAAGGCAATCATAGGAAGTAAGCATTATTATGGCATTTTAAGATGAAATTAACTTTCAGAGATCCACAGGTCTGTTCAGAGGTAGAATTTATATTTAAACAGAACCTGGGTAATGTAAATTTCACATTCTTAAGTATCTTCAGCAGTGAACAATAAAGTAGGACCTCAAATTATTTCCACAAGATCTCATGAACAGCCCATAAAATTTAAAAATTCCAGTTGGAGAATATTACATAAAAATCTACGTGTGGTTTGCCTAAATGTTTATTACTTAACAAGAAGAAAACCCACATCTGATTGCACTAAACCTAATGAACCCAAATCTTCTCATTTAAAGATCTCTGGAGGGGGGACTAGTTTTTACTTTTAAAACTGCAGGTGCACTTTTCAAGGAGAAAAGCAAATTTTAAAATTTAAAATATAAAAAGGATTTTTTACTGTGAAGAATTTCATAAGCTCTGCATGTGACAGAGTAATGACATGATACTATTAGCTATCATAACAAAAGTTTCAGTGAAAAACCATAACTGACAATGAATTAACCTTTCTCCACACTGAAGATTTACCAGTTGTGCTCATATGACGAAAAATAACCAATAAACAATACTGTCATTAATGTGAATGCCCCTCTTATACATTTTATTTAATATAAATAAATATGTTGATAGGGAAGAATATGGCCTCTTGAATGAAAGTGAAAGAATATGCTAACTTGTTCAGTTAGTGAGATCAGGCAAGTTTATTACCACTTACTAGACAGAAAATGCTGAGAGGACGGTCCAAAATCTCGATGGGCTTCCTGAAGCTGTTTAAGGCGATCATCCACAGCCACCTGAATACATATACACACACAAGACAGATGGAATAAATTCTTTTCAAAACAATGACTTTGATAAGATCCTTGATTGAAGTATTATAATAAGTAATGCCATTGCTCAAGGTATGATTGCTTCTACAGACTCCTTTTCTATCTCTGATATCAAAGTAATGGGATGAAAATAGACTCCTTCTGGCATCTAGTAACAGCAAAATACTAAGTACTCTTCTAAGCAATTAATATGAATTAACTCTTTTAATCCACACAAAAACCCTATGAGGTAAGTATCATTATTATCACCATTTTAGAGGGAAAGAAATTGAGACATAAAGATGTGTCCAAGACCATGTAGATAGGGAGTGGCAGTACTAGTAACTGCACCCAGGTCACCTGGTACCCTACCTAGTTTTCAGAAGTGGACGTGGAACGAGGGATATCATTGTTGATGTCAGACGGATCTCGGTTGAAAGCAGAGAATATCAGAAAGAAGTTTACCTGTGTTTTACTGACTATGCAAAGGCATTAGACTGTTTGGGTCATAACAAATTATGGATAACATTGTGAAGAACGGAAATTCCAGAACACTTAATTGTGCTCATAAAGAACCTGTACACAGACTAAGAGGCAGTCGTTCAAAAAGAACAAGGATACTGTGTGGTTTCAACTCAGGAAATGTATGCATCTGGGTTGTATACTTTCACCATAGTTATTCAGTCTGTATGCTAAGCAAATAATCTGAGAAGCTGGACTATATGAAGAAGAATGGGGCATCAGGATTGGTGGAAGACTCATTAACAACCTGTTATGAAAATGACACACCCTTGCTTGCTGAAAATGAAGAGGACTTGAAACACTTACTGATGAAGATCAAAGACTACAGCCTTCGGTATGGATTACACCTCAACATAAAGAAAACAAAAATTCTCATAACTGGACCAATAAACAACACCATGATAAATGGAGAAAATATTGAAGTTGTTAAGGATTTCATTTTACTTGGATCCACAATTAACACCCATGGAAGCAGCAGTCAAGAAATCAAATGATGTACTGCCTTGAGCAAATCTGCTGCAAAAGACCTCTTTAAAGTGTTAAGAACCAAAAGATGTCATTTTGAGGACTAAGGTATGCCTGACCCAAGCTGTGGTATTTTCAATCCTCTCATATGCATGTGAAAGCTGGACAATGAATGAGGAAGACTGAAGAAGAATTAATGCCTTTGAATTGTGGTGCTGGCAAAGAATACTGAATATACCATGGACTACCAGAAGAACAAACAAATCTATCTTGGAGGAAGTACAACCAGAGTGCTTTGGAAGCGAGGATGGAAAGACTTTAAGTACTTTGGACGTGTTATCAGGAAGAACCATTCCCTGGAGAAGGACATCATGCTTGGTAAAGTATAGGGTTAGTAAAAAAAAAAGAAGACCCTTGATGAGACAGACTGACACAGCGTCTGCAACAGTGGGCTCAAGCATAATGATTGTGAGAATGGCACGGGACCAGACAGGGTTTCATTCTGTTGTACATAGGGTCACTATGAGGCAGAACCAACTCGATATCACCTAATGACAACACCTGGTACCAGACTTTATGCCCTGACTGCTACTCTACATGGCCTCTAAAGCATCTAAAGTCAAAGTGCAGCTGCAGCATCAGTCACTACTCATCTGCTTTTTGTAAGAAATGTGGTGAAAAGTGCTACAGGTAGCAAAATGGAAAATAAGTCTAAAACACTCCAGGGGAAAAACTGAAAGATGATAGGTAGGTAGGTAGATGATAGATAGACAGATAGACAGATAGACAGACAAATAGATAATAGGTAGATAGATGATTGATAGGTGATACATAGATGAATGATAGGTAGGTAGGTATGTAGGTAGGTAAGGAGAGACAGAGATGATAGGCAGGTAGGTAGGTAGATAGGCAGGCAAATAGATTAGATAGATAGACAGACAGATAGACAGACAGACAGATAGATGCTATTGTTGTTGTTTTTAGGTGCCACTGAGTTGGTTCTGACTCATGGCGACCCTACGTACAACAGAACAACACACTGTCCGGTCTTGCGCCATCCTCACAATCGTTGTTATCCTTGAGCCAATTGTTGCAGCCACTGTGTTAATCCATCTCATTGAGGGTCTTCCTCTTTTTTGCTGACCTTCTACTTTACCAAGCATGATGTCCTTCTCCAGGGACTGGTCCTTCCTGATAACATGTCCAAAGTATGAGAGACGTAGGCTCGCCATCTTTGTTTCTAAGGAGCATTCTGGCTGTATTTCTTCCAAGACAGATTTGTTCCTTCTTCTGGCAGTCCATGATATATTCAATATTCTTTGCCAACACCACAATTCTAAGGTATCAGTTCTGCGGTCTTCCTTATTCATTTTCCAGCTTTTGCATGCATATGAGGCGACTGAAAATACCATGGCTTGGGTCAGGCACACTTCAGTCTTAAGTGACATCTTTGCTTTTCAATACTTTAAAGAGGTCTTTTGCAGCAGATTTGTCCAATGCAATGCATCGTTTGATTTCTTGACTGCTGCTTCCATGGGTGTTGATTATGGATCCAAGTAAAATGAAATTCTTCATAAATAGGCTCTACGTCTGTTTATATACACTCTACAGTTAGGCTGCCTATGTTATAAAAATGCAAAGCGTGCTATACTGAAAAACCAGTGCAAATCAATAACAACTGCACACAGTTTACTGGCATGTTTCCCTCCCCCACTCCCCGTCTTTGTCTATATAGTATTAATCAGCTGTTCCACTTAGACTGTCAAGCTGATTTTCAGCGGCCTTTAAATGATACATGTGTATCTCTAGCTCACTGGGCAGTTGAGCCATTTATACTGCATTACCACGTACTTTGTTTCTTAAGGCCATAAAGCACCGAAATGCCACACTTTACATTCAGAAGGAGTAAAGAAGATGCTACTTCTAACACTTAACATTGCCTCCCAGCGTAGGTTTTCCCATTTTATTCAACCAGCAACTAACATCTAAGCTCTAGGGTTTACCAGCATCAGAGATAAGGATGACAGAATACATATTCACTTTCAAGTATAACTGTATTCCCTAACTTCTAATCTTCAGAGATGGTGATAACAGAAGCAGAATGGGAAAAGAATCAAGATGGACTGTAGAAATACCTGCATGAAGATAATGAATTACAGAAATGGAGCAGGAGAATGAAAAAGAATACAGGTCAAACCCTTCTCTGTTCCACTCACTGGAAAATCACATATGAACTGAGCAGATTCTGCCCTCCTAATTCCAGATCTTAAACAGTCCTTTCAAAGACAGTAAAAGACTCTCAAATGCTATACACTCATTTCTCCCTTCTTTAATTTCATTATGAAAATATAAACCATCGGATGTGTCAATGTTTACATTAATTCAGGAAACCTATGATAGTATATTATACCTTTAAAATAAAATGCTTTTATATATTTCATAAAAATTTCATATTTATCTTATTAAAATACTACATTTTAGCACAAGATAGAGAAATTAGTAAGACTTACTGTTTTCAATCTTCCACACAAGTTATCCTGCTAATTTTCAGAAAAAAAAAAAAAGATTATGATGAGGCCTGGGAAGTAGCCTTTGAATGTGGCAAAGCTCCACAAAGATTGAGCAGAAAGCTCTTGTTTGGTGGCCTGCAAATGCTGATACCTAGCAATGTTCCAAAGGGTGGCTTATGTTTTGGCTGTTTTAAATCCAAGATAAGCAAGTAGGGTCTAGAGTCATTGAAACAACTGAATTAGAGCAGTTAAGATCTAAGAAATCTTTGATGACTAAAGTGCGCCTGACTCAAGCCATGGTCCTTTCAATCGCCTGCTTCATGTGCATGCAATAGCTGGACAATGAAAAAGGAAGACAGAAGAAGAATTGATGCATTCAAACTATGGTGTTGGTGAAGAATACTGAATATATCCTGGAATTCCAGAAGAATGAACAAATGAGTCTTAGAAGAAATACAACCAGAATGCTCCTTAGAAGCGAGGATGGTGAGACTTTGGCTCACTTACTTTGGACACATCATCAGGAAAGACCAGTTGCTAGGAAAGGACATCATGGTTGGTAAAGTAGAGGGTCAGCAAAAATGAGGGAGACCCTCTATGAGATGGACTGACACAATAGCCACAACAATGGACTCAAGCATCCCAATGATCATGAAAATGGCACAGGACCGAGCAATGTTTCGTTCTGTGAGACATAAGGTTGCCGTGAGTCTAAGCCGATTCAAAGACAACTAACAACAACGATAAGATTTAAGAGCTAAAGATAAACAGCACAAAAGCATAAATGTACTATCTGGAAAGAAATGACCAAGCTACCTAAGCAGCAACCAGTTGGAAGAAGGAGAATGGAGATTTTCTTGCTTTTTCTTCAACAGAAAAAATACATTAAAGTAAGAAAAATGACTCCTGTATGAGCCATTATGTAAAAAGTGTTTCTGTAACTACCGTTTCGATTATTGTGATTTATTTGAATTTTTGTAATTTTCTATAAATACTGTATAACACATCAAAAATATTACATTAAAATCTGTTAATAAATAAATGTGCCCTTTGAGCTAAAGATACTGAAAGTTCAATACCTAATGTTGTCACATGCAAAATTCATTATTAAATACAATCAATAACGAAAGAGAAAAATGATGGTGTGTGGTGGAATACTGAGGTAGAGTTTAGAGACCAACCAAGGTGTAAATGTGCACTATGAAGGGGGTAAACTGATACCTGTAAAAGTTTCCATCGCATATTAAGGTCATCCAGCTGGCGAGACATCTTTAGAGATGGGTGCAGGTCAAGTGGAGACAGCTGACTGGACAAATCATTCACTGTCTTAACTTTTAAGTTGATTGGTGCAATTTCTTCTCTAAATGCCTGCAAAAAAAGGACAAAAATTATGTCAGTAGAATATAATGAAAGCTAGTCTTTCCATCAAAGAAAATGGCAAAGCCAGTTGAGAGTCCGTCAACTATGGTAGCCTACTCAACAACCAAAAAACTAGTTGTGGAGTTGATTCTGACTCATGGCAACCACATGTATGTGAGAGTACAACCATGCTCCAAAAGGGTTTTCAGTGGCTGCTATTCTGCAAGTAGATCACCAGGTCTTTCTTCTGAGGAGCTGGTAGATGGGTTTAGATCACCAAGTCTTTCTTCTGAGGAGCTGGTAGGTGGTTTTGAACCTCTAGTATTTTGGTTAATCTTTTGCACCACCCAGGGACTCTTACTCAGCAGCAGTGTGACTTAATTCAGGTCTTTAGTAACCCAGATTACCAGCCAAAGAGTCACCCTTTATAGCCTAGAGAATCAAAATAAGTACATGAAGAAAATAAATACAATGCACTCATTTAAATGATTAGGTATTTTTATAACTTCATTATATGCAATTAAGTCTGAAAATTTTTATATTATCCACTTTATTAATTTCTAGTCTTGACTCTATTTTTAATTTCCTTTTTTCATTCTAATATGTCTATCTTAATGTTTTCACCTGATGCAATAACTTGACATGTACATGTTTCCACTTAAAATTAAGTTAGAAAGTGACCAGTAAAATCAACTTTCATTAACCACAAAGCCTATGCCTATTATATATCCAAGAAGTAAGGTTTGCCCCTTTCAAAATCATTTATGATCAATGTCTGTGGTTAGGGGTGGGGCAGGAAGATCAGGTTCTATAAAAAAAAGAGGTAAATGAGGCTTAGAACTGACAAATGCCACCTCTGGACATAGAACAAAGAGATGGTTTGGGAGCGGGTGATGAGAGCGTATGTGATGAGAAAAGAAAAGAAATCAAAGAAACAAATACTTGAGCCTAGAACAGCTCTCTTCTCCCCCTTATATTCCATGTATAGGCTAAAAATCATCTTCATTATGGTTGATAAAATAATACTAAGAACATAGCTTTATTTTTAAAAAGAAAATTATTTTTAGGTAAATCAGAGAGTATCATGACTCAGTGTTTTAAAATTCTTAACATTCCCAGAAGCCACATTAAGAAGCTCAAGGCAGAGATGATCAATAAACCATTAGAGCAGTTCTGGTGCCTCAAGTCAGGGTGAGAGATATGGATGTTGGAGGCAGCGTGTATAAGTGACACTTGAAACAGCAAACATGGAAGGCAAAGCGCATAAGGTGAAGAATATCACCCGTATCCTTCGGACACCAACATTTCAAAAGCAGGTGGAAGAGGGGAAGCTGACAAAGACATCTGACCTACTGCAAGACTGCACGAGAAGGAATCTAGATTTGTGATAGTTTTTCTCCTTAGCTGTAGTGTTGGTCTTTCATTCCGGTCACCATGTGCAGGAGGGAGCCCTGGTGACGCAGTGGTTAAGTGCCTGGCTGCTAAACGAAAGGTCAGTGTTTTGAATTCACCAGTCGCTCTACGGGAGAAAGATGTAGCATCTGCTTCTGTAAAGATTAGCCCTGGAAACCCTATGAGGCAAATTTAATCTGTGCTATAGGATTGCTATGAGTTGGAATCAACTCGACAGCAACAGGTTTTGGTTTTCTAGGATGTGCATACTCAGACAGATACACATATACAGTTAAATATGAAAAGCAGCAGTATGAAAACAGAAGCTACAAAGGCCCAAGGAATCAATAATTAATATATAAGCATGAGACAGATAGAAGCAGGGTTAGGGTGAGAAGACAGAACTTTCAGTCTGGACTTGGCAGAGGCCTGGGTTCCTTCAAAATCAGATTGAAATGATTATGGAACTTAAATCTTTCAAGGTTTTTCCAGCTGTGGTTTTAATACTGTGCATTAATATTAATATTCTCTCCATGGGTACCTTGTAGTGCTTTAGAATTTTAATCAGCTTTTAAAATCAACATATTTGTTATTTTTTAGGTGTTAAAGATTAAAAATGAAATACTGGAAAATACTGAGATTTATATACTTTTAAATAATAACCAGTTTTATTTCAAAATGTGGCAAAATATTTTTCCTAATTAGATTGTAACTTCAGAACAGATTACAAAAATCTTGTAGAATAATAAAAGGATTTTAATTTTTCCTCTATCAACATAATTGGTCCCAGGTGAAAACATCAGAAGACTTTTGATAAACAAAGTCTTGGGATTTTGTTTGTTGCTTTTATAGTCAGGTGTTTTACGGCAATGAGGAATCTCTCACTGTGAGAAGAAAGTTTATCCCTTTTTTTTTTAAATTCTGAACTAAGAGGCTTGAAATAAATTAAGGTTTAAAATGGTTTCAGGACTGCTGTGTGTTCCAATACAAAGAACCAATATATCATCTTTTGGCTGTACTTTCCTATGAGAGAATAAGAGTCTATACAGCCTTCCTTACTATAAAAACAGAAACATCTGCCAGCATTACAAGTGCTGATTGGCAGCCTGTTGGCAGATGTGAATCCCAAACCCTCTCCTGCCAGAAGGTGTCTATTCTGCAAACAAGAATGACTAACGATAACTTTAGGGGAGCTAAAATTATCTGATTACCCCCAAAGATTTTGTTTTCTAGCTGCTCTGGTGTATTTACTAATATTTAGCAATAATCGGAACTTATTTTCACCTGCTTATAGCTTCAATTAAAAAAAAAAATTAGAGGTTCCTGGGTGGAGCCAATGGTTTGCGCCCAACTACTAACCTAAATGTTAGCGGTTCGAGCCCACTCAGCTGCACTGTGAAAGAAAGGCCTGTAGATCTGCTTCTGCAAAGATTACAGCTAAGAAAACCTATGGAGCAGTTCTACTCTGTAACACATGGGGTCACTACGAGTGGAAATCAACTCAATGGCAATGGGTTTGTCTTTTTTTTTTTTTTAAATGTATATCTTCAGTGGAATCTGAAGTATACATTAAAGCATAAGTAAAAGATCCTCAACTTTGGATCCATTTTATTTGGCTTAAAGAGACTTAGGCTATTATGTTCTTTTGTCCTAATAAGATCTTAAATATTTTAATCCACAGTTTATTCTTTCCTCTTAAAATATTAACTGTATTTTTCTGAGCTTTCTACTTAAGCAGAGATTTGAACAAAAGGATTTAGATGTAGAGATGGGTAATTCCTTTAATCAAATGGGATTAAAAACTCCCAAATTTAGGCCTTTAATAATCCCAGATACAACATATTTTATCCTCTATTATAAATTGATACTTTTAAATTAAATTCAAATGAGTAAATGCCTGCTCTAACTCAAAGCCATTTTGGAAGTCCAATACAACATATTTGTTATAGACCATTGACTTAACGATTTTCACTGTTTGAAAACCATTTTTTATAATACAAGAAGTGCACAACTTGTGAAGAAGTGGTGCTAAAAGACTTTGTTTTCAGTTGGTAATTTTAAACCCATATCCATCCATGGAAATGTTTTTTAGGATACTAGGGCTATAAGAAAAAGCCTACTTAATTCATAGTGTAGCTGGAAACTTAACTTTGGTATATTTACACTGAAGGATGGCAGAACCAATACTCTTTTAGTTACAGATTTAAACATAAAAATTTAATATTTAACTTTTAAAACTTTGAATTCAAAGAGTTGATCAAAGTTGTGTTTAACTACATTAGTATGAAAGAGGTCTTCGCAATGAAAGAGAAGAGCAAGAAAAAAGAATCACGGAAACTCCATCACTTACTAGCTGTGTGAGCTTGACAGTATGTTCAGTTTCATCACTTGTAAGGCATAATAATAGTACCTGTCTTTCTGGGTTGGTGTGAGTGAGGATTTAAAGAGACATTCACGTAAAGGGGCTGAGAACAGTTGTTGGCACATAGTAAGTCTTAATAAATGTTAGCTATTACTGTTATTTCTATGTCTATATGTACATACTTATTTATGTAATTTGCATATTTATTAAGTTACTTTCCCAGAACCTTTCTTCTTTTTCCTATTCAGCCACATGCATACAGAGCAAGAGTTATCCAATGTCTGTGCACAAAAGATACACAGCTTTCGTAACATACATGCAATGAAAAATCCCATTCATGATACATACTTTCAACCCAAACCTGATTTTTCACTGGATTGTTCCTTGATTTGATTCATGACTATTAAGTGTATAGTTTACTATTCTACCACAAACCCCACTGCATTCTAAATCTGTTATTTGTGTCTGCTCGCATCTACACTTTACTTTTTCTGGATATGTTCTAGAATATGGGTGCCAAGGGGGTCTAGACCATAAATCTAACATCCTTAACTTTGGGCAATTCATAACTATGAACAAGATTTTTGGCTAAACTAATCTTTCAAACTAATGGACTCAGCCAATGAGATAAAATTGTAGATGAGAAAACCAAAAAACCAAACTCGATGCCGTAGATTCTATTCCGACTCCCAGCGACCCTGTAGGACAGACTAGAACTGCCCCATGGGGTTTCCAAGGCGCCGCTGGTGGATTCGAACTGCTGACCTTTTGGTTAGCAGCTGAACTTGCTAGACAACACCACGTGGATGCAATTCTGCAACCAGCATGGGAAACACTAAGAAACAAACAATTTAGTTTCTTCAACAAATAACCTGCAAGGAAAACAGAAAGGAGAGGGGCGATCTGGAGATTAAGAGAGACTTTTAAAATATTTTAAAAAGAAGATAAAACTATAATCCAGATTCTTTAGTGATGCACAGTTGGGTGAATAAAATTATAAAGAAAAATGAAAGTAAATTATTGTAAAAGTCCCATTTGTGGTTATTTTGGGAGGTGGTTATCATGGTGAGGGGCATGTGAAAGTCTCTTCTGTGCCAGGAAAAGTTCTATCTCCTGACTTGGGTGGATGCTGCAAGGGTACTGGCTTTATAATAATCTCTTACAACAACTTATATATGTGGCTTTCAGTATTTGTGTTATATTTAACAATAAAACACTTGATGGAAATCCTTTATCAAAAGTGATGCTGACCATGGTTTTTTCAATGTGATCCTGCAGTGAATCGATGAGTAAGTCTCCCACGGGCTTCCAGCCGTTCCGTACTGCCTCCACCTCCTTCATGTCTGCATCCAGGTCGTCCATAGCACCTTGCAGATCTCGTAGCTTCTCCAACGCCTTGTCTACTTGCTTTTGCCAATTGCTAGTAACAGCATTTAGACTTTCCCACTTCTCTTTGACTTCAGAAGACTGTTTGCGCATGGCTTTGGCAATCTTTTGGGCTCTCTCCTCAGGGGTCAATTCTGTGATTAAAAAAAAAAGAGACAGAGACTAGTCTGTATGCCTTTGGAACTCTATACTCTTTATAGCCAAGTGGGGACACCACCAACTAAAGAGTTACTACCAGGATACATGGTGCAAGGTTACACTGGCCAGGGTAAGAAAAAAATCCTCACCACCAATTCCCTGCTACACCTAAATGGATACTCAGGAGGAAAAGAAACTAGCTGCTTAGATTACTAAGTGGCCTAGAGTTTTTGGTGAGTTTTTAATTTTAATATATTTGTAAACCCTGAAACGTATGTAACAAGATAACTTAAGAAACAGAACCATTTTTCTTTAACATTAGTTTAGTTATTAAAATCCAAAGACAGTTTTTCACTTCATTGTCCACTAGAGAAATGGGTATAATTACCCGAGAATAGCTATGAGTTATGAAGAAAAAACTCTTACAAAAGATTAATTTATCTTATTATCCTTTTTTTCTCCTAAAAATATAACTGAAGGCAAACAACATATCTTGGATACTTCCTCATGTCTGAATCTGTTTGGCAGTTCCTCTTGAATGGAGGGCATTTTCTACAGCCCCAGAAGTATAACATATCCACAAACATTTTGAGAGGATGATAGCAAGATTTCAAGGACTGTTCTAAAGGTGTAGTAGAGCAAGAGTGCTTCCGGTGCACCTGAAATAAAGTTAGACTTGCAAACAGAAAAGACAGGCATAAATCAAGGCCAAGTCACAGGATAAGAACAGGATGATAAGCGTCAGAAGGGAAGCAAAGGATGCAGATGGGAATCAAAGTTAAGTTCAAAGTGAAGAGTCAGAAACATATAGAGGGGCAGGTGGACAGACAAGGCCAGACGAGTGGGATAGACACAAAGCAGACACTCAAAACTGATCAGATAGATCCCCTGCACCGCCATACACTCCCAGGACCTCACTACCCTCTACACCTAAGTATGTTTCCTTTCCTATCTCACACGTTTCATGGTTTTCTTCTGCATGTCCACTGAAAACAGAGAAGCAAGTCAGAGACATACAACCAAGGTAAACCGTACATCAAGACAGAAACAGATATTTTGTGATAACACCCTATCTTTTGGTGTGAATCGCATTAGCTATTTCCACTTCACCGCAAAATGTTCCAAATTATTCCTTAAAAAATATGAACTGAAGCAAACTCTTCTACCATAACTTTCAGAACCAATGTAAATTTGTCTTCCAATATATTTTTATTTAATATTATTTAAAAGTCAAGCTAAAGGCGATAGAACACATATTTTTGCCTACCTAAATTTCCAGAAAATTCTAGACATAAATATTTAGGCTTGAAAGCAGCTTAACTACAGTAAACCTCGGAAAACCAAATAGACTAGGAAGAGTTCAACAACTACAGAACTCAGAGTTGCACTGTTTAAGCACTGTGAGGCTATAGAGAAACCTGAGTAATCCCTTGGCAACTGACTTGATTAAAGGAAGGGACAGCATCATGATTGGTAGACAGACCAAATACACCAGTAAATGATAAATAAGGAAAATAAATTAATTAGGCAACCAGCTTCAAGCAATGGCTAAACTGAGATACAGTCCAGTACAACAGTCAGGGAAGGGAGCCAAGGGGCCGGGAGAAAAGTCCCCAAACATTAAGGCTTTCAAGGCACCTGGCATGTCAGAATCCCAAGGTTCCTGCAAAAAAACTTTCCATGGAAAGGTATGACATTAGAAATGCAAAGCTTATTTAAATCCATATACCTTCAAGATATTTATAAAATGCTACTTGCTATCTGTCAGATTAAAAAAAAAAATCATTCTTAGTCTTGTGAGAGATGGGCTTGATAAATTTTTGATGCTGACACCAGCATTTGTTACTAAGTCACCTGGTTTTTTCAAACATATATTTTAAGCACTCATGTTTCACTGACTATTGTTTAAAAAAAAAAAAAAAAAGTACCAATTTCAGAATAGACAAGTTAATTATGATGATTTTCCTCAGATAAAGTAAAAACTCTTTTATGAGTCACACATTAAATAACCTGGCACAGAGACACACTGCTTTGTCCTGTGACAAGATACCATACGTTGGTTGTGACTTTTTGTTTGTCTTCACTTAATGTAAAATCTTTTGACTGAGCAGTCCTTTTGTAGTATTTATTATATCATCTCCACTTGCGCAGCTACTCAGAAGAAAGCTCTATGTTCAATTCACCATCTGTTTGCCAGAAAGGAAACATATTAACTAATCACAGAGTCAGAATCAAAATGCCTCCTATTGCAGCAACAATCTCGGTTTAATGCATATCTTCAGCCAAGAATAGAGGAAAGCACAAAATGACATTAAAACTTTCAAGAAGTCTGTGAAACGAAATAAGGAGCAATATGTGAAATATCAAGTTATGACAATTTGGGGTAAGAAAATAGAAAAACAAATTAAAATAGCAAACAGGCAGATTAGATGAACGCAATAAAGGAAAATGTTGCTTTTTTTTTAAAAAAAAAAAATCTTCTCATAATCTGAACATTCAAGGGCAAAGTTTTCTTCAAATTTTCTGAATAGATATTTTGTGGCAAATTCTAAGACCCTCATGTAAGACTGGGAAATCTTCTCTACCAACCACTAACTGCTGACCTATTAAAAGCTGCCCAGAGGGTTTTTCTTTTTCTTTTTTTTGTTAATGCTGAAGCTCCACCTGAACAGATTCTGATTTAGTTGGCTAAGGGTGAGAGTAACCTGTTGCCAGTGAGTCGATTCCAACTCATAGCGACCCTATAGGACAGAGCAGAACTGCCCAAGAGAATTTCCAAGGAGCGACTGGTGAATTCGAACTGCCGACATTTTGGTTAGCAGTCGAGCAATTAACCACTGCACCACCAGGGCTCCTTTATGGATATATCTGAAGAGCTCCCCACGTGATTGTAATGTGTTGCAAGGGTGGAGCATCTCCAGCCTATTGGCATATAAATTGATTTCTCAGGTCCATTTGGCTGAAGCTCACAGAACGTTTCTACCCCGGTGGGTTGTTGTGTCAATTCCACACAGAGCAGAGCCACTCTATATTGAAGGCCAGAGACGAAATGAAGCGCAGTGATGAAGGGTAATCTAATTTGCATGTTAAAGGGCAGTAATAGAAGTTAAACATAGAGACAGAGGAAACAACGGGTAAAACCAAATAAATTTACTAACAATTCTGAGACTAGAAGCACTTTTCCTATGTCATCTTTCTGTTCCCTAATGTGTGTGTGGTGCACTAGTCAAACAATTGGCTGCTAACCAAATGGTCGGCAGTTGGAATCCACCAGCTGTTCCTCGGAAATCCTATAGGACAGTTCTGCTCTGTCCTATAGGGTTGCTATGAATCAGAATCAACTTAACGGCAATAGGTTTTTTTTGTGTGTGTGCGTGCGTGCGTGCGTGTGTGTGTGTGCGTAGTGGATTTTGGGCAGATTGCTCTGTTTCATTCTCATCTCCTCCCTTTAGGTCACCCCATTTAATTGGCCAAACTTTAATGTTGAAATTATATTTTATTTTTATAATAAACAGCAATGTCCTTACTGTGTTACAAAGATATTTAAGGAAGAAAGTATTATCTTTTGGGGAGGCAGAAGAAGGGGAAGAAGGAAAAAGAGGAGAATGGAAAGGGCAATTCTCTCTCTTCTCCAATTATCTTTATTTCTTCAAAGAGGTGAATTAATTATATGGCATTGATGTCATACTTCCCCATTATATCACTATCATATGGTTCATGGAATCTAGGTGGGAAAAACAAAGCTGGATCAGGAGCAGAGGTTCTGAGTTAGAATCAGTCCTATTCCCATTTTGCCCTTTACTCCTAAGACAAGCTACATGGCCATCTTGCCCCAGTTTTGTCACATGGGAACTGTGTTTTCTCCTGCTGGGAAAATATTCTACCCTCAAGGGCCCATTATACCTCTAACATTCAACTGTATAAAAAAGGCAAAGCCTCCATATATCAGAAAAGAAAACAGCAGAAGCCAAACAAATAAAAACTAAAAGAAAGGTCATTTTCTCTATGGGTACTTACGCAGAACAACTGGGGTATGTTTTGTCCATGAAATAATGATGGAAATTTATTAGAATCAGCCCAGTGTTGTTTTCAATTAAAATTTCCTATACTTATTGTATTTTATTTCTCAATTAGGGTACTGAGAGTTATAATCTCCATTATGACTTCTTTACTCTTAGATTCTAAAGCCTTGTGTCATGTATGTTTTACTTCTGTCCATCTTGTTTGGCAGTACCCAGCCTAGAAACTGGCACATCCTCAAAAAATGATTACTGCATTGAGTTGAACTGAGTGGAATTTTTAGCTTTACATTTTATTGAGAATATTAAACTTCATAACTTTAAGTGGAATTCTTTCCACTTATTTATCCCTCCTTCTTCCCATACCCATATAAAGCACTGATGTCTCCTAACGCGTATCATGGATTGAATTGTGTCCTCCAAAAACTTAGCTAGGCCATGATTCCCAGTGTTGTGTGACTGTCCACCATTTTGTGATCTGATGTGATTTTCCTATGTGTTGTAAATCCCACTTCTATGATGTTAATGAGGCAAGATTAGAGGCAGTTATGTTAATGAGGCAGGACCCAATCTATAAGATTAGGTTGCATCTTGAGTCAATCTCTACTGAGATAAAGAAGACAAAAGTGAGCAAAGATGAGGGGGATCTCATACCACCAAGAAAGCAGAGCCAGGAGCTCATGTCCTTTGGACTCAGGCTCTCTGTGCTGAAAAGCTCCTAGACCAGGGGAAGATTGATGACAAGGACGTTCCCCCAGAGCCAACAGAGAAAGAAAGCCTTCCCCTGGAGCTAACACCCTGAATTCAGACTTATAGCCTACTAGACTGTAAGAGAATAAACTGTTTGTTGAAGCCATCCACTTGTGGTATTTCTGTTACAGCAGCACTAGATGACTAAGACAATGTGAAAGGGAAGAATAAACTTTATAGAATCATTTAAAGTACTGTAGTCTAAATACCTTATTTGCACTATTTTT